TATATATATACTGGATGTATAGAGCCTTTGGCCATAACCTTTGGCCTTCAATCGAAAATATACAGAATTTGCTTACATTGACTGTCAGCATTAGAATCTCTGTAGCCACAGGCGTGATTTATTTCTAAACAGATAAATAGGCCACAGACCTTTGACTTCCTTTTCGTTCCTGAACCAGCGCAGGTCAGCGGCCGGCTTGCTGCCTTGTGTGATGCAGGTCAGAGTGATGTGGTCCCCCTCCATGGCTGGCTTTGTCAGGCCGTTGATCTCTGGCTTTTCTGGCACACCTGGAAAACAGAAAGGAAATCACTGTGATAGGGACAATTCACACCCAGCAGTGTCATTATGCAGCAATATTTCTGTTATGCCATCGTGGAAATTCTCCTCCAGCTCACCCACCTGCAGAGAGATTAAGGGGCACACTCCAGAGCTTCTCTGAGTAGTGCACGGCTCCGGCAGATGTCAGTTTAGGTGTTTGTTGGCACTTATGTGGGCGGCTTCGCTCATATTTCTTTCTAAAATCCAGTGATCGCTACCCACACGGTTAATTTTAATTGTGCATTTCCAGATTGTATTTGTCTCCTCTTTAATTCAGATGTGACTGACTGGAATGGAGTTTTGTTTGTCTTCAAAAGAGAACTAAAACTTAGTTAGAAAAATTTAATACGAGCTCTTAAAACTTATTGTGATTTCTTTTTCTTGCTTCTCTGACAACTGTCGGCACCTAAAAGAAATAAATCTCAGCACAAGGTGGATGTTAAAATATTTGAATATGGTGAGATGTGTACATGCGGCCACAGGCTTGTGCCGGAAACGTTGATTACTGGCCTTTCCTGTAATTAGTGTTTTAAGTAACTGGGCTCTGCCCTGCTGTTGTCAATGACCAATAGGTTTGCTTCAGGCTGAGTGACTGAAAGGTCTGCCAGTCAATTCCATTGAGCTGACTCTGGCCTTGTCTGTCTCACCATCTTCTGAAGGTTTTAAGACATTTTTATTACAATTAAAGGTCCTTTTCTTTTGCTTTTACATTTTGAATGAAAAAACCCCCCACAATTTCCACTAACTGCTGCTGTTTAATCTGAACTTGCTCATTTAATTAAGCATTGTTTAAATTGCGTTTAGTTTGGATGTTTTTGTCTGTGCATGTTCAGTGCCGTATTTTGAAAAAATGTAAAACAAGAAATATTACCCTGTTTATCAAAGTGGTGTTATAAAACTGCAAATATGTAAATAAGTTTTACTCATAACATGTCATTTAACTTTGTTTTCATTGGGTGACTATCATAAACTRACACTTGCGGATTTGAGCAAACGTCTTAAAATCCTTCAGATGGATTACAGTCGAAGGGATTCAACCATTTTCCCCCTCAGGGCTATACCCATGAAATGATTGTTTATTAGTTCAGGGTTTTCTTTTATGACATTATTCCACATTAGAGTTTCCTTGTGGTAATAGAGAAATTTATGTTTGTACACCAAATGATTGGAATGTGAAGCTTTCATGTTCATTTTACGGTCTTTGTTTCCAAATCATTTTTACTTGTGTTCTTCACCAGCCCTTACAGTCTCGATGCAGCAGATAAAACGGGCCATTTCCAGAACATTTTGCACGATTATTAAATCCTCTTCTTTGTGTTCTGGCGTGCACCATTAACTATTGTTCAGCGCTGCAAAATGATTTTCTCCATATCCTTATTGAGCCTGTAATGTCTCTGATTCGGAGAATGCTTGTTACCACAAAGAGCTAGCTAATGGTCCTGGAGTGCACTAATACATCTATTAACATTAGCGAAAACTAATTGCAAAGATAATAAGCACAGTGGCAGGAAATGAAACAATATTTATGTGAAGCAATGATTACAGCACAAACACTTTTAAAGGGAGGGGGAAGTTGTAATAACAGGTTGTTTTTGCTTTGCTTGCAGGTCATTTTAAACAAAATTTGTATGTTTTTTTGTAAGATACATGACAATAGACTTTTTAGAATTATTTTAAGGTAATTTGTTCAATCAAAATCATTTTTCGCAAAATTAATAACATATCTGGGGTAAGAAAATTTACATTTAGTTTTACAGGGTGCTGTTTTTTATGGTATCAGCTCAGAGTAGATTTTTTCTAATTTCCAAAGTACAAATACAATATTTGTTTATTTGTTTGCAATATTTTGTTTTATTATAGGACTTTCACAATAAGAAATAAATTATCGCACGATAAATTAACATTGTTCACACTTATTTGCCTGCTTGTTTGTTTTCTTTGTCTCCCTCTTCTACTCCCTAGCGTAGCGAGGAGTGAACTCTAGGGTCAGGTATGCAGCAGGAGCATGGTCTCACATGAAACAGGCATTTAGCCAGAGGAGCAACTTCTAGGCTGGTGATGCCTCGGGACGACCTCAGTACACCGTGCCAAACCTTGGGTCCTCCGAGAGTTTTTATCATATTTTTTTACGATATGCAAATTTTGTGAACCTCGATTTTACAGCTTCATTATCTGTTGTTTATCTAATCTTCTGTCCTGGTCTGTTAATAATGTCTTTTACAAACGTAAATTTCAGAAACTTTCATTAGCAGAGTGGGGTGGTGCGGTTGATATCATTATATTAGTTTAAAGTGGTCTCTGAATGATATTATTATTTATTGCAATAATTTCTGATATCATCTAGCAAAGTTTGTCAAAGTGACAGTAACACATATTTTAAGAACATTATTCATCAGTATGATAAATGATAGGTAGTTTTGAAGCTTCAAGAAATCTTTTGTAAGATAAACCAGACAGATTGAAGAAAAAACGTACAACTGAGAAAATGTGTCTTTTACCCACCGCTGGATTTTTTTTTCCATTTCCTGTAAGTCAAGCAGCAAGGTAGTGTTTGCTTGAATCCCATTCTTACCTAGAACAGTGAGGTAAGCTTTGGCTGTTCTGACAGGCATGGTGAAAAGAGAGCAGGTGTAAAAGCCTTCGTCTGACAGTGAGACATCAATGATGCTGATGGTCAACTCTGACGACGACGCACGCACAAGCTCAATCCTGTTGTCCCTTAAAGCTGCAGAAAGAAGAAAAAAAAGAAACAAGCTAAGTCTATCTTATAATCTACAGAAGCAACAGCTGAAATAATGGTCTTTAGTAGCTAATTTTTTTCTACAAAGTGTGACTTTTAAAACTTTCTTGATGAAATATAAAAGACAAAAAAAAAAAACCTGAAAAAAGTCAAATATAATATGAAAGAGCATGAACACATTATAATGAGTAGATAAAAAAAGGACCTTAAAAGGCAGCTCTCTGCTTTATCTTAAAATGAAGGTGTTACACTGAGCTACACTCAAGATTTTATTTTTCTCCACTGGAAGCCACAGAAGACATTTACTTATATGAATATGTAATCTTCCAAAAGACATACCGCAATGGAAATCAATACTGCAATATCAGYCTCAGCGAGAGAAGCCTAATGGGAATTTGGCTAGATGCGAGAGTTGAAATAGATTTGCTAAGATTAGATGGGCCAGGTGATAAGTACTCTACAGATTCCATATTCAACTTTACATTTTGCTTCTGTGACACASTGTGTCACAGAAGCAAAATGTAAAGTCAGAACATGGTTCTGACTTTTGTCAGAACATGGTTATGTGGAATTGTCAGAACATGGTTATATCTTGAAAATGGCTGGGCTTGTTTTGGTTTTGTCCAATTCTGTGTCGTGAAACCAAACTACATTAAAAGTCTGGTCTATATAGAAAGAAAAGTCCCCGTGAACCTCTGAGCYTTAAAACCATCGTTCAGCCTGTTCCTGCAGCTTTGACTGCATAGCAGATCTACTGTATTCATGGTTTCTTTCAACACAAATAAAACCTGTCCAAAACATGTAATGTTTAATAGGGACAGCTGTATTTTGCTTTTAATCTCCATCAATGTAACTCTGAGCTCATTGTGTTAAACTACAGCATGTGTTTGCGTATGAAGGCCATGGTTCAAAAGAAAGAAAGGCTTGCTTGTGAGCAGATAATTACATTTTCTGTCATGAAAGAATAATCTCTCAATTAAAAAAAATCTAAGAAATTGAGCAAATCATAAAGAACATTGCCTGTTTTCTTATAGATACATTTAGAAAAAGAAACAACAGCAGACTCTGTATGTGTG